TTGGGGATGAATCCAGAGATAATACTGGGTCCGCTGGGTTACACCCAAAACTTCTCCGTCCTGGAGGATCTAATCTACCACCAACCGCAGAGAAGCATCAACCTAGCCTACTCTGTCAGCCCAAAGACTCCACTCCAAATCAGACAAGACAAAACTAATGGAAAACCACACAAAGCTTTAAAAAGCAACACAAACCAAGTACAGGAAAAATCGATTGCATCTGGAAAGTCATTCCTGTTCCTCAAGATAAGTTGTCGCTTCAGGTATTTTCAGCACACATGCCAACACAGTTCCTGTATCGTTTAGGTAGCTGGTAAAGAAAATAGGGATGTATGTCATAGGGGAGGGCTTACATCAACCACAAGCGAACAGCTCTAGCTAAATAACTTCCCTCCTCTCCTCTGTTCCTCTCTCTGCAGGGACCCTCCCCCTTATACCTGTTCACTGATGGTCAGCTTTTGAGCTCTGAGCCGCTGGGTGAGAGCAGAACAGGATGACAGAGCTGGTAGGCACTAAGCGACACTATCATGTCTCAACTCTACTGTGGTCTGGCTGACATGCTGTTTGTTTGCCAACCTCTGTGACTTCTTCCTCTCTGACTCATTTCGTCTCTGACTGGGTGATGTATGTGTGACAATCACATGCTCTCCAAAAAGCTCTCCACCAAAAGCGTCCAGTCTCTCCCTTTTCTCAGCATTCAAACTCAGCACAATGAAAATCAAGCGTTTTGACTTTCTAACTTAAAACCTGCAATTCCTCCAACAATTTATCCCATTACAGAATTGCTGTTATCCAAAGTCCTCAGATGAAGTGCCGTAACTTATCTCAGGGGTTCCTCACTCAGACATGTAGATTTCATTATCCTGTGTTTTGACGTGGACACCAAATCCAATTGTAGCATGCGAAAAAAAAAAAAAATCCACCTAGGGGATTTTTTTTCCTGTCCTGTTCTCCAGCAGAGTCCAAAGTAATCCAAAGTGATGAAAAAATTTTAGCCAGGTGATGTGATAAAATTGACAATATTGAAATGTTTTTTGCAAATAGAAAATGCTCCTTTTAAGAAGTCAGTCCATGTGTAATTCTGTGCTGCTAAATGACTACAGCCTCTGGCGCTTAGATCGAGGATTATCCTGGTTAGTCCAGATTTCTGAGTGAAAGACCTTACAGTCGCACTGAGTAAGATTTACCTCCTGGAGTGTTGATTGAGCTTGTGGGATAAGACAGGGTGGGGGAGGAGCTGTTGAAGTAACAAGATTAAGTTCAACTTTTTTCTTTTTTGTCTCTGGGCAGTTCAGCCCAGAGTTACTCATACCCAAGGCAGACTTACATTTAAATGTAGCTGAAAAACATTAATTTGTTTTTGTTTGCATTTTAATGGCAAAAAAGCAAATACTTTTTCCAATAATCAGTGGATTTGTTTTCTGGTATTACAGCAATCAAACCCTGCTGATCAGCTTTTTGACATTTTTCCATGGATATATTGAAGATTTATTTAGTTTTTTTTTTAGCTCCAAGTCCTTATATTTGGAAGGCCTCTTTGCTATCACCCTGATCTTTACTTCCTGTCACAGATTCTCTTAGATTCATGACTTTATTGGTCCTATCCAACATGTTAAAACTACATCCAGACAGAAGAAACATGTCGGTAAATCTGAATCTGTCAGAGCTAGAAATACTTTTGGATGCAACTGCAAATTACTTACGTCATCTACAAACCGTCTTCTAATTTGAATAGTCTTGTTTCTGGTGTGATAAAATCTTTTCATTAGATTAATTATGGAAGCATCCATTGAAAGGGACGGTCTCTATTTACTTAGTTAGTATTTCTTTCACTCAAGCCACATAACTGACAACTTGCCCTTATATAGTCTAACCCGCCTTCTCGTGTGTAATAAATTTGGAGCATCTGTGCCCTGCTTAAATCCTCTCGCTTTATCCTAATCTCGTTACAACAGGTTAACTGTAACTTACAGCTAGGAGTAAGGATGTAACCAACACTAAAATAGAATATGTGTTGCTAGCAGCAGCTGAAGTTTCTCCTCAAGAGATTGACAGGATGACAGAAATCAGTGACATGATGGTGTATGTTAAGGTGAAGCGGTGATTAAGCTGGCGACCTTTCACCCTGTAACCATGTTCTGATACATGTTGTACAGGAAACCTGCTCATCACGGTTTATGAAAGCCAAACCTGAAGCTGACACACAGAACAGGGTAAATTTTTTTGTTCACTAGCCCTCTTTTGGGAAGACATCATACCTCTTACACATCCATCGCCTTCACCTGCCTCGGCACCAATCTGTAAAGTAAAAGTAAAAAACAAACTTACACCACAGAAGAAGGAGAAGCTTACTCTGTCAAAGTACATCTACAGCCAGCACCGATGGCACTGTGTTACATCGATTATAAAATATATTAATGTTATCAAGTTAACAAAATCAGCAAATTTATTAACAGATCAAGAACTGAACCGTAACATCATATGATAGAGATTCACGGTTTTCATTAGTTGTAGGGGATAAAAAATCTTACATGTTCATCATTTTGCTCTGTGATCTCTGCACCTTCTCCAGAGATGGATTCAGAAATGAAGGAGACGTCGCTGTCTATTAGCAGATCTTCTCTGAACACAGCAGAAAATGTAATTCAAAAGAATTAAATACAAATACCTCAAAACTGCAGGGTTTGTCAAGGAATATGAGCTGTTTTTATTTCAAAATACAAGTAAAACTGAATACCTTACTCTACTTTGTAAGTATTCTTGTTATTTAATATTTCTAATTCTAATTTAGAATATTAGAAATAGATAGTGTTAGCATCTTTATCGGTCAAAGGAAATTTAGTGACATTTGAAAGAGCACAGGTGTCAAACTGTGCTCTTTAAAATTGGCCACTGTCCTGTTATATTCAGTTTATTTCTATTAGATCTTTTCCTATTAACCACAAAATAGCCGGTTCAACAGTAAAATATCTATTACTTACGAGGAGATTAAGGAGAGATCAAGATTATCAAAATCCCTGAAGATCTCACTGTATCGCTTGGTTTCAGACTTATGAGGCACCTTCCTCAACTCTGAAATAGGAAATAAAAAACAACCTAAGATGTGTTGAAACAGTCTTCCTTTTTATGTCACAGAAAATCAAATAACATTTTTCTGAAGACATGTTTGCATGTCATAATGAATGCAGAAGTTAGATCAAATTAGATTACAAAAATCATACATCTTGCAGTGTTTAGCCCAAATAACCTTCTTTTATTTATCTATAAAAGTAGGAAGAATGGTTGACAAACACAAGGAATCCTACATGAGGACAAACAGCACAAGAATATTTACTGAATTAAAAAAAGGATCAAACCAAGATCCTCTTTTAGACCGTCTGACAGCATTTCCTGGACATTTCAGAGCAAAAGATCCTTTGATCAAATGTGAGCTAAATACATTGTGCATATAAAATCTGTGCCTTTTGCAAACAAACGCTCAAACCTTTGTGCATATGCTATTCAACTGCTGTCTCATCTTCTAGGTTTTACCCCAACAAATTACAACAAATGCAGCAAATAAGTGAAAGAAATTTCCCTCCCTCTGAGGCGCCTCCATCTTGGTCAACCACATCCTGCTCACAATTTGTGTCACGTCCCATAATGCAATGAGTCCCTGTTTTTCACACCAGTAGTGTCATTCTGCAAAGTTCAAAAATCTAACTGTCAAAACCTGACTGAGTTTGTTTGTTGATTATGCGCAAGATTAAAAAAAAAAAAAAAAGGCTTATACAATGTTGGCATCAATACATTTGGAGCATATTATGGCAAGATTTCTGATCTGAATTTTTTATATTTGTGCAGATAGGCAAACTGGTCCATCAGTATAAATCATTTTGGATTCTAAAATGATTATAAATAGATCCTGTTCTATTATAAGTCAAAGTTCAGCTGAAAAAAAAAAAAGACAAAACTAGAATGTGTCAAAAACGAAGGAAGCGTTCAGGAAGTTTACAAACCCTTCAATGACACGCAGGATGCCTCAAAGCACCACTAACACCCGAGCAGACACATTTAGGCTCACTGTGCATGCAACATGTGCATGCACCCACACGCAGTCTTTCCCATTATGGCGCCACTGCATTGTCAGCAAACAAAACCAAATTTGCAAGTGTAAGGTAATTCACTACAGTGATGAATGCACTATAAATCTTAAACAAATGGATAAAAAGATAATGGATTTAATAAGAACCTTAAAAAAAAAGTAACATAAAAAAGTAAGCGATCACTTACACAAACATCCCCCCAAAGGTTGAATTCTCACCTGCAGTTTGAGAAGAATCCTTGTTTAACACTCCTTCTTCCATTTCTCCTCACTTTCCACGTACCAGCTAGACCCTAGATACACTCACACATCTTTGCACCTGCATTGATTCAACAATATATCACTTAAAAAACAAAAAGAGCCGCTGCAACGGCTGAAAAAATGATCCAGACCTTGTATGCGGAGTACAGTAGCAGAAAATGACCAGCTACAGCTCTGACCTTGCGACCATTAAATCTCTCAAAAGATCTTCCTCTGCTAGAGTGGAGGTTGGCTAATGTTTTCACCATGAGGGGAAGAGGAAGTGTAACTCTGTGTCACAGTAGGACCCACCCACATTATGACACCAAATATAGTGAGAAGGTGCCACTGTGTTAAGTTTGTGTTGTCTTATTTAGGATTGCTGACTTACGAAAGGCCAGTTTTTAAATTAAGCAAATAACATAATGTGGTGAAATGTCATCTAGCACTTTATTTATGTCTGTTGTATCTGGTGGAAAATTAAGTTGTGCAGAGTGAACTCAAGAACAGCTAATGAGGTCACACTTAAGAGGTAAAGCAGTTGTTGCATCTTGTATAAAAATACATTTAAATGTTGACTAACTTAAAATCTAAGCCCACATGGGACACATACAGAATGACTCTGCTAACATTATGTACAATTGCATATTATTGTCAAAATAAAATTCCCAAAATGTACTTTTAAAAATGAAACCTTTAATTTCATCTTCATACAATAAACCACACACATATCTTTCCACAGTAAAAGGGTGAATCATTTTTATAGCATGTGGAACATATTTCCAAACGCCTCAGATGAAATGGTTTACTAAAAAAAAGAAAATTACAAAATAACTATTTTTTTCTTTTTTTAATTTGCAACCAAACATGTTCACAAGTCCTGAGTTTTGTTTATTCATCTGCAACTGTTCAGATGTTTGGAAAATAAACATTTTGCTGTGTAACATAAAATTAGTTGACCTAAAATGGCTGAAATGTAACAATCTAATTTTATATGCATCTGTTGATTTCTGTATGACAGACAGAAAGCGAGTACTGCAAATGCCATTGATAATGACAAGTCTAGTGCCCAATTTTAATAAAACAAAAGAATACAAAATAAAAGTCAGCCATGATCCCTTTTGAAATTGTCACGTCTGAAAAATCCAATTCTTTAAACTTCAATATCACATCCCTGCTGTGAAAGTAAATCAAAAACATTTTGGTTAAAAAAGTATAAAAATTTTCAGATGTCTTAGTAACGGAATCTTTCAATTTTAAGCTCACTCACTCTCTCTCAATTTCTTTTAAAGCTCGTCTCGAGCTGTACTGTCCAAAGGGGAGTGGAGCACGTCTGTGTTTTGGGCCTCGCGGCTGATCTCGGCCTGTTCTTGTGTTTTTCCGGAGCGGGCTTCTCTGTCCCAGTCTGTACGGACCTTATCATTGTCCCACACAGTGGAGGTCTCCGTGTCGCTGATGTAACCGGGGTCGCCCGTATAGTGAGTCGGAAACACCAGGAGCGGCTCTGCAGAAAAGGCCTTCAGGTCCCTGTTTTCAAACTGCTCCATATAATCAGAGCTGTGAAGGAGAAAGCAAAGAGAGGAAAATAAGAAGTTTGCCAAGAGGTTTCTGTAACTGTGTGCACTTTTGCTTGCAGGGGTTAAAACTTACACAGGGTGTTTGTTGTACATAATAGGAAGAAATTCATCGACGGGTAAAATCCTTTTTAGTGGTTCTGCTTCCAAAAGCTTCTCAGCACCCTGCAGGGAAATCATATAACCTAGAGTCCAATATGAATAATCTGCTTCTACTAAGTTATGAATATTTGGCACTGCTTTCTCCTTGTGATCCACTTGCATTCTTTTCCGACCAATATATCTGCAAGAAAGGAAGAAACCAAAAGGTTTGGTGAGAAAAACTACTGATATAATGATGAACAAACTACTGATATTAAGATGAACAAACTTACATAAGGTCCCAGTCCAGACCTTCATCCTCAACCTCACTCATCAAGTTCATCAAGCGACGTTTGAAGAAGACCTCAAAACGCAGGTCGTCTTCAATCACGAGGGAAGTTTTCAGACGGCGATCTACAATCTACAGACAAATAATGACATGTCAGTATTTATCAATTTTAAAACAGTTTAAATGTTCTGATTTTGAAGTTCACCTCCTTCCAGATGTTGTAGTGGGAAAGAAAGCAGCCTAGTTCTCCCTTTGTCAGTGGTCGACCATGGTAAGGGTCCTGGTATCCAGGGAGCATATGGATACCCAGGGCATGAATTTCACTGACATTCATCGCTCTGAAATGAAGGCATGGGGAGTTTATTTTTATAGCACATGTAAGCCATTCTAAAGAAGAGAAGAAGTTCACCAAGATAAAAATGGCATGCTTTAAGAATAATTTGTACCAAATAAAAAGCTGAGACATTTGGGAAAAGCTGCAGTAGATATTTTGTTTGTAAAATAAGTTTGAACTCCAAATCGGTGTCTTCCTTTCATTCACAATCATTTAATCCAGCCACACATCCAATGTGGAGGTGTATCAGTGCTTCATCCTAATGTAAATTTACAGCATGTTATGCAACAGTGCAGCCATCAATTAACACTTACCTGCCTCCAAACATTTCAAACTTGTTCTACTTAAACTTCCACTAGTAGATACAAACACTATTCTCTGACAGAAACTTTCTGATTTTGTTAACACCATTAGAGCTAAGAACATAAAATTGAGAGAGATCCAGATGCTAAGTTGGGCCTGTTTCTCAGTTCCATTTCCTTATACAAAAATAACTTCTGTATTAGGTTTATAATTTTCTCCTAAAGCAGATCCATTTTGGATGTAGAGCCCATGATCAGTTACAGTTGGCCCAAAGAACAAAATATTCATTTGTAACAGCTACAGACTGTTTTATTACTTACTTTCCATCTACTGCTGCAATGATCTTGCAAGCGATCTTCTGCTCATGCAGTGCCCTTAGCATGCGTTCCCTGCGGTCAGTCCGTCGCGGCAAGTTTATCATGAACACCTAAAATGCACATAAAATAATCAAATGAAACCTCTATCAGCAGCAGGGAGTCTTAGAGAACACAAATGAGCAGAAGTCCATTTTTGCAATTTCCATCTTCACATCACTTCACTCACTTCATCAAAGCCCATTTTGTCAGGCTTTTTTCTAGGGACACGGATGTACTTGGAAGGCATCAGGGGAGGATTCCGCACTGGAATGTAATATAGAAGACAGATGCAGAAATGGTAAAAATGATATGCTGTGTAAGGTTTCATGCTGTAGTCAAAGAGCTGAAGCCAGCAACAAGGAAGTGGTTGGTTACAGTCAAAATGCAGAAAACTTACCATTAACCTCCAAAAGCGAGTGTAAGAAGCTATCCGCTTCGTCTTGCAAGGTATTGTGGGAGCGCAGGGGTACAGGAATATAACCATAAGTTTCCCTGTTGCATACAAACATTTGAACATCTGGAAAAAGCAGAAAAAAATTCATTAAACTGAGTACAACAATCAAATAAATATCATGATTATGTTTCGAAGCTAGCGGCTACACGTCAAATACCTGCCATCTGAGCAGAGAATGCAAACACAATGATGTCATCAAATGCCCAACTGTATTCTGGATGTGGTGGGTGAAAGGCTAGCTGCCTGCTGGCCTGTTTCCTGAGGTCTACAAGGAATGTGGAGTGAACCATCGGAACAGCAAAACAACCTTTGCGGACTTGCTTCCTGATAGGGAGGTAGGCAGGTGTCCGTCTGTAGTAACCCTAATGAGGGGAGGTTTGTTAGCAGGTTTGTTACATAAATCAGATCAGGTAAACCAAATTATTATGACACTACCTGAGAAGTCATTCCACACCAGAAGTTTGAATAGGCACCACGGGATTCAAGCATTGGAGCTATTATTGTTTTATTTTCTTTCATTAACTTCCAGAGTACGTCTCGATCAGTGAGAAGGTTATCACAGTCCACCAACTGCACAGAAGAAAGTAGAAATGATGGGAGAAATGTTCATCGTGAGCTTATCGGTTTCTTTTTTCACTACAGAGGAACAATTTGCAACTCTACCACAGAATTACCTCAAGTCACTAAGAATTGTAAGTATTTATTTTCTCTTGAGGTTGTTCTTTGGCATTTCAAACAGACTGAGGTCTGGACTTTACTGGGGTGTTTTCAGTCATTCCTTTGTAGATGTGCAGATTGGTTTGAGATCCTTATTTGAAGCTAAGTTTAAGCTGACTACCAAATCGGCACAGATTTGACTCATGAGTAATTTGGTAAATTTATAGCCACAGTAACCCAGGTCTTGTGGTTGCAAACCGATGTGAAACCATCACCCTTCCACAATCCAGTGCCAAGGATGACAATCTCTTTCAACAGAGCAAACTACAAACACTCCCACTTTTATACAGTTGGTCACACCTGCTGGTAATAGGGTTAGGGCGGATTCGTTTAACTACTCTATTCCTTCTCTATTCCTCCTCAAATTCTATGCAAACAGCAAAGGTGCACTTAGTTTTGTCGTGACTATTAAGGCTCATATAAACTTTTTACGTCTGGTGAATATATGTGCAGAGCAGTGTCTTAAAAAAGCGAATGTGAAACAAGAATGGGACTCTACTAATTAGCTGTAACTGTCTAGTTAAAACAAAACCCTCAATTTCACTTTTTTTTCTCCGTCTCTCAAGAGAGAACGTGGAGAAGCAATTCAAAGTAGACAAAACTATTGCAATTGTAGATCTACGAAACCTCAAGATTATACACTAGTGCAACAGGAGAAAGCAAATAGAAATCCGCACAGTATTGTGCTTACAGTTCAAAGCATTGGACCAGGAGCAGTGCGAAATGGACACCCTGTGCTCTTTGTAAATTATAACAGTGCATTTGATTGGGCCTTGATTTTACACTTATCCATTGGCATCAACTACAGGATAAAAATAGTTCAACAACTGGCTCAGTGCTAAGAAATGGAAACACCTAGTGTTGTGCATTTGTATTGATAGAACAGTGTATTGACCTACCATCAAGTAATCGGCCCACATTTCACGAGCCGACTCCAGCGCTCCTTGCCGAAGTTTCATAACATGCTCATAGCGGAGATCTGTCCAATGTTTTGGACCATCTTCATCCTCGTAACGACTGAGAAATACATCTTAAGAGTTCTTCATTGGAATTTGCTCATTTATTGATTCTGTGATTTCATTTAGCAGCACCTAAATTCATTGGAAGCTCAATGCAACAAACCTGGGTTCTTCTTTTGGCCTCCACTCCACATAATGGTAAACGTTCTCCACCTTTAAAAGCCAGTCACGCAGAATTACTGTGGTGTTGTCCTCATTGTGATCAGTTGCTACCCTGTAAAAGTGCAACAAATTGAAATAAAACATATAAAATTAGTAGGTTTGACCAAAAACAGGCTCACAATGATTTAGTGCAGAACTGTTGCCGGATTGGGTTTAATCAGACTGGGTTGAAAGGACAAACCCCGACTCAAATAACAATAGTCCTCTGTTCACTTTTTGTAAAGTCATTGTATGCAGCTGTGGGAACTGAATCGAGTGTTAATAATCCCAACATCACACAACAAAAACTGTGAGCTGAGATGACATTTTTTTAGGTTAGCAGTCGGTCCAAAAAAAAAACCACACAAAGGCTACAAAAGACACAATCAAGAAGTGAAACCTTTTGTCTGTTAAACCTTAAAATAGAAGGAAAAGATTTGAACTGTGAGGAAAATGAGCCTGTGTTAGCGGGGAAATTTGACACAACTCTGCGAATGAATGAAAACATACCACAGATATTGTTTCAGCACTTACAACACATATAATCAAATTATCATGCAGTGCTTTTGCTGTGCATGGAAACACAAACACTGCATGTGTTTTTTTTTACAACTACAAACATGAAGGTATTTTATTGGAATTTCATTTAGCAGACTAAAAGCAATAAGGAAAATATCACACGTTTTTACTAACAAAAATCTGAAAAAGTTTGACCTGAATTTGAATAAATAAAATGCAAAGCAAACCATTGCCTTCAGATGTCAATGTATCACAATTTAAGTCTACAAATGCATATTAGTGAACAAATTAAAAAAAATGAACATCTAATGCCATTTCGGTGAATGAACATAGTTACGGTAATTAAATATATCTACTGTAACTCTGCTGGATACATCTGTATATATACTGTCAAAAAAAGATAAATAACGTAACAACCAAATTTTTGGTCAAGTGAAACAACAGTCTTTGCTCTCAACACACATTCCATCTGACAGTTTGATTTCTTTTTTTGATATTTCTTTGGATGAAAGTCATAATGGATGTTCCGGAGAGATTTCTTTTCTGAGAAACTTGAGTCATCTTCCCAAATTTATTTGGGCCATTCACCCTTTACTCATACTTAAATCTGAACTTTTTCTTACTCATAAACAGATTAAACTACTTGAGAAAAAAAATTTATACTAATTATCTATAAACCCTCCTACTCTAAAAACATAATCACACAAGTTGCACCTCTTATATCTGGTCTATTTTTACTGTTGTCACTCTGCAGAACTAATTGTATGCACCCAGGATTTAAATGACAGTGTTGTGGGTTATGATTCGGAGGTTTTTGGCACCATTACAAACAGCTGTGAGGGCCAAGTACAAAGAACAAGAAGTGCTTACAGCATCTCAAACGGTTTGTGACTTGAGGAGCCTGTAAAACTAAAATTTCAAAACCTATTTACAGCAGATTTAAACATCTGCCAAGCTTTTCTCAACAACAACAACAAAAAAAAGGTGAATACATGTAGACTGTGAGTAAGGAGCGCACCACTTGAGTCCTGAGGTTATGCTGCAAAGAGATGATGAAGAAAAAGATGAGCATCTAAGCCTGGGTGGGCTGTTGGAGCATGTCATTTGCTTACTTTTTATGTGAGAAACCCCTCCCTTATTTCCACAGATGTCTAAATTACCCTAAATATGAGTTTGCACAATCTACATTTGCTTTGGAATAAGGCTTGCCCCAAATAACTGAGGTGGTGTAGATTAACAGATGCTTTAAAATGGCCCTAAAATCCCATTTAATGTCACATAGTAATTTCACCATTGGGTAAGGTCACAAAATGATTTGACACAGCTAAATATTTATTTTTGCACTTGCTAATTTAGCTCAAAATCAGACTGTCCAATAAAACTGTTTCAATATTGCAATGAAACTATGCGCTCGCTGATCGCACAGTTTTATATTTTTAATTAATTACAAGGCTAATAATTTTCTCCATCAGGTTTGGTTTCAGACATGGAGACATATGAAAGTGTTTGGCTGAAATTAAATGTTATTTTGAATACTGAATCTCACAGCTCCCCTCGTGGCCAAGTCCCCTCCCCTCCACGTTTACAGAACAAAGTTTTGGACATAAAACTTGATCGACTGCGTCCTTGTTTACTCAACTGATTATGCGTTTTCAACGCCAAACTGAGCGTTTAATCTATTGCGTGACATAATTTGGCCATGCGTCCAAAATCACTTCTAACGCTTTTATTCCCCCTTAACATTATATTGTCTTATTTAAAAAGAGACGTTCCCAAATGCGCAGGCATTTGTCCTTATTCCAGTATAGTCTTACCGACAGGAACTTACCATAGAGCCATGCGGTCCTTCGGATACTTGAGTCGCTCTATAGTTCCCAGAAAGTACGGCAAAGAGTGTTCGGAGTTTCTGCAGATGAGGGCGAGGAGAACCCGGGGAGCCAGAAGCGGAGACTCGGGGCTCCAGCGCTCCTCCGCGAAGTATCCCCGGACAGGCGAGCAGCAGCGGAGGAGCAGCAGGAGCAGCACGGCGGGGAGGACGGCGAGCCCGTGCATTGCGGCAACTATCTGTGTTTTATGTTATTATCCTATTGCACTCGTTTTAAATTAAAATGAATAGTAGCTTTGCATTTCGCACCCATCACAAAACAAGCAATCTGTGCAGAGTGCCCTGATGTTGTAGTGCGAAGTTGAGCCTTAAAGGGGAGGGGTGTAGTCTCGTCTTAAAGGGGAAACCTCAACCAGACACAAAATGTGATTTTTTTTTTCTTAAATCAAACGTGTTCTTCATTTCGTATTTCAGAAACGTTAAAAGCATTTCCAGGCGGTCAAACCAAAAGATAAACTCAATTCACTCCTTTAAAGGAAAACAGAATGAAAATGTGTTTTTTTCCCCCAGTCGTATTCAAAGAAAGAGGAAAATGTAATCTCAAAAATAAAAATAAATTACACCAAGGAAACATTTCTACAGGTACACTGAGACTTTAATCACACTCGGGTATTTTTATAACTTACCAGCCTTAACATTAAAAAGTGGTAATGCATTGAAAGAATAACAGTACAGTAATTACTTTGTTCTTAAGACATCCAACAAATGTTCCAAAACACATTACATTCATACAGCAGCAAAACACAAATGTAATTATCCAGAAAGTGTTAAGGTATGTTATTGTATTCTTAAGTACAATTTTACTAATGCAGGAATGTCCCATTTTGTATTTCCTGTTGATGTGCTGATTCATCATCAGACTGAGAGTTTTAAAGCTTGGCTCCCGCACCTGGCCTTTCAACCTGGATAGTCAAGGTGGCAGCTGCAGGGTCATCAATGAGCCAAAACAGTTCACCGCTGATTGGTGCAACACGAGCGGCTGGATAAGGCGAAGCTTTTCCATTCTCCAAAACCTCCTGCAAAAAAAAAAAAAAAAAAAAAAAAAAAAAAAAAAAGATGAGTTCTGAGTTGCAATCGAGCAAAATTGCACAAATAAGCAGATTAAGTTCTTCTGTTTTGGTTAGTGTGTCAAAATGGTTGATGTTTTTATTACTACATTGTTTTTAGTCACTTGCATATAAAACCCCCCAAAAGGTTTTGGTTAATTTAATTAATTTTTCTACAAATAGTATGTTTATTGTGACTGTGAAAATTGAAGGATTTACATCCAGACATGCTTTCCGAGCACAAAATTTACACACATGTGAAATCTTCATTGCATCTGATAATAAGTAGAGACATTATATATCATATAAAAAAATGAAAGGTTATGTATAAATCATATTTGTCTAACCATCACCTTCAAAACAGCGGCTTTGCTTCCACCTGTTGAGACAAAGGTCACACAGCGTGCTGCGTTCACCACTGGGAAAGTCATAGTGACGCGTTGTGGAGGCGGTTTGGGAGAATCACTGATCGGAGCCACAATTTTCTCTGTTTCCTGCGTGTGGGACACAGACAAAGCTTTTTACACTTCATATTACGCAAGCAAAATACATTAGAGTCAGTGGGGGTTATCCAGTTATTGATGCATTGCTTCCGGTCTTACTGAATAAGAAATTTCATGTAAAGCATTTTACTTTTTGCCAGAGTGGGAACTATCATCTCTCAGCTTGATGCACACAGCATGATGGATGATCTGCACTAATTAGTAGTTGAATTCTGAGAGGGTTGGGGATGGCTTTTATGAGAGAGTCGGCTGAGTTGAAAAGTGTAATTGCTCCAATTCAGCTCTAACCCTGACATCAGCTGGAAGATGGGAACAGCAGACTTTAGCTGCTGGTGGCACAACATTTAATTATTCTCTGTGGGGGAAATGTATGGGACAAGTTCTACATTTAGCATCAACAGCACATCTGTGCAGAAGATGCCGATGACTGACAAACACTTTGAACGTATATTTAAGCCATACATAAAGTATAGTGTAAACATCACTAATTAAAGTTCAGCTCAAAGGTCTCAAAGGTCTTTCATGACACCAAGACAGGACATGAGAGAAGCATCATTTTTTATTCACACTACTATTCTTGAAAAATCTATTTCATTTCTTCTGCATCGGACGTGACAGAGAATTATTCAGGAAAATATAAATACAAATGTAGGCAACGTTAAACTCTTATGGAAAAATCTGAGGCAGTCCGACTTCTTGAAAGCCAAATAAAAAAGGGAGACTTAATTTGAGATTTGTTCACAGAAGTGGTTCTGGATTGAACACTGAACAGACTGGAGTTATAAATGTCAGTTACCTCCAGAAGGGGATGACCTGGAAAAAGAGAACATGTGTGTCCGTCTGGTCCCATTCCCAGCAGCAACAGGTCAAACACAGGAAACTCTTCACCTGGGAACACCTGTTATTTCGAATTTAAGAATTCAATTAAATTCAAAGAACCAACCAAGTAGCAAAACATAAAAGCTTGGGATTAATTTGGACCTGTTTCAGTTTACAGGCATAATCCTCTGCACACTCTGCCACTGGCAAAGAGGAGTCTATGGTTAAGATTCCACTTTCAGGGACGTTGATCTTGGGAAACAACTGACTCTAAAACAGAAGAGAAGTCTGGCATTTAATTTAAATGCCATTTGGTGCACAATGCATTATGAGCCATATATATTAACTCAGTAACAGGAAATTTTACCTTGTAAAGCCCAAATGTGCTTTCCGGATCATCGAAAGAAACCAGGCGCTCATCACAGAAGCCAATCACCCACTTGCTGCAGTCTGGCTGGGGCAGAGCCAGCAGCTCTTTGCTGAGCATGGACACAAGGCTTCCTCCTGAGAGACCCAGGGTGAACCTGCCATGAGAGGCTATGGCCTTCTCGGCCCGAGAGATCACCAAATGAGCCAAGACTGGACCGAGCTCTGCTGAGGAAGGAAAGACCACAACTCTTCTTCCAGCCATCACAGCACTGCAAGAAGAGAGAAAGGTTGCAAAATAAAAGGAAGTCAGCTGCAAAGTAGTTTTGCAACCGTGTGAAAAATGCACGAAGCAAGGCTTTTGTAAACTTCAACAAATATTTTTATAATAAAAACTTGTATTGAATGTGGTTTACTAGACATGTCAGGCTGCGTGGGAATTTACTTGCAGCCTACTTCAAGTACAGGAGAACCAATAGTCAGCATATTAGTACAAGCGCGTCTCTTAGTACGTAGAAACAACTACAAGCCTAAAATGTAATTATTTTTAAACAATGAAACAAATTACTTTTACTACCTTGCAGAGAAAATTCGAAACAGCAAATGGTCATGTGAATTTTCAGTCGGCAAATGAGTAAGTTTAATTCCATGCACTACTTCCTGAACTGACGTTTCATCAGCCAATCACACGTCTTGCAACACCGCACTGCTTTCTGGTCGCTGCAGTTCTCCAGAAAGCAGCGTCCAAAATGCTCCAATCAGAATGCAAAGTTGACGCCTAGTTAATATTCACCAATATTAACCAACGTTTTGGTAAACTAAGCAACATATGCCATTATTTCAAGTCAATATTACAGTACTTTTGTATAATTGCTATGCTTCCGCCTCACCGGTAGATGGAACCAAAGTTTCCATTCGAACAACTCGAGTTTCACCCTTATGCATGCCTGTACTGTTCTTCTCGCACCAGACAGTGTAACTACATGTTGTTGTAGTCATCACGACGGAATCCTGACTGTGGCAACTCGCCTGCGTGAATTTTGCGTGTCGCGGGAGACCAACGAGAAACATGTCCACAGCCTTCTCCTTCCAGACGCAGCTCGTCTCCATCATGGATGCGCTGTCCAAAACAGCTGTGATGGAAATAAGCAAACTGGTGGAGATCGAGTCCAAGATGTTGAAAATAGAAATAACAAGGGGGCGAAATGAAATCGCTTCTCTCACAGAGAAGCTGCAGCTGATGGAGAAGTTGCTGTTCATGGCTCAGGAGCGCAGGCAGGACGCAGCAGCAGCAGCAGCAGCATGCTCAGAGATGAGGGGGTCTCCAGAAAATAAAGGCTTTTTGGCTTCAGACAATTCAAAGTATGTATAGTGTTTAATTCTACCCAAAGCTCTTGATCTCGACTGTTTCCTTTGACCGCTAATGTTTTGTATTTAAGTGCACTGCACAGTAGTGGAACCACGTGGGAAAACATAGGAACCTCAACAGAGATGGACAGTTTGCACCAAAGTGACGAGCATACTTCACCTGAAGTAAGTATCCAAACTGAATCAAATGCAGTCTGTTTTAAACCTGTTTGAATTTAAGCGATCATTTCAAAATGTTTCCCACATATACTCTGACAAATGTCCGGCACATTTTCAGCTGAAAAAATAAATGTATTAGGTACTAAATATATAAAATTTAGATGTAGTTTGCAGAACATCACTTTCAGCTTTTACTTCCCAAAAGCAAGCACCACTTATGAGTCGTGACTAGAGGGAAATCTGACTTCACAGGATGTTCCAGTTGATTTTTTTCCCCGACTTCCCAGTCAGAATTTCCGAGTTCCGAACATAAAACATAAATCATGGATACTGGACTTTGAGGGTTGACTTTGGATACCACCGCTTTAGCTAAAGCCACAGTTTGCAAAAAAAGAGAAAAGACTAATGATCAAAAGAATCTCATGGTACAAAGTTATTATTTCCGTGGCATTATATGTACGCTACACCTTAAGAAAGGGAAGGCAGTCTCTTATAAATGGAAAAAAAAAATAAAAAATAAAATTATATATATATATATATATATATATATATATATATATATATATATATATATATATATATATATATAGAGAGAGAGAGAGAGAGAGAGAGAGAGAGAGAGAGAGAGAGAGAGAGAGAGAGCATGGGGCCATTATGAAGACTGGACATTTCTTCTAAATGGCTTATCCAAACTTGGTGATATTTTACCAAAACCTTTCAGGATAGTTTGTTTTGGACAGACCGTTTCACCCAATTTCACTGTGTATATCCACAGTGAAATGTGGTGGAGGTTGCGTCATAATCAAGGGTAATGGCCGAGCCAAAGTCCAAAACTATCGCTGGTTTGTTTGGTTTTCAGTTAAGCTGCACAGGATAAACATCACAACATATGTGGAAAAAGTTTTCAAATGAGTTATGAGGGTCTGTTTGTTTGTTTTTTTCTCATAAAAACCTGGTATTTTAGCAGAACTGTGTACAATTTTAAAATAGAATCAAATTCAATTATTTTTTTTACAATTGTGCAATTTAGGTTGCAAACCCACCAAATGACTTGTCTGAGCTGATAGTGATAAAAGAAGAGCCATCAGATGTGGAAAACAAGAACACTGAACAAGACAGAACAAATGAAGCAAGTGAGTTTTTAGATTGTTTTTGTTTGGCTTTTGCTACATTATGTTGGTTTTAGGGAGTTTTTCCATTTTCATCTGCTGTTAACAGGAAAGGATGGAGCTCTGGATACCCAAAAGGCTCCAAATGTGATGCAGCATCCTAAACCAAGTGGAGGACACCAGCAACCTATGTTCATCAATAGCTTTATGAGTTCAAGCAGCCAGCAGCCTCATGCTGACTCCAGCAGACAGGATATGCAGTGGAATCCACAACTAACACCGGCTCACGCTACACTGCAGGAAGGGAAACAAGTGGTTCAAAATGTTGCCTCACAAAACATCAGTGCATCCAGGAATGTGAAGCTCCATGGTTTTAGGAACTCATCGACAAAGAGGTTTGGCTGCATGCAGTGTGGCAAGGGTTTCAGATGCTTCAGCCAGCTTGAAATTCACCAGCGAAGTCACACAGGCGAGAAGCCATTCAGGTGCACGCTGTGCGGAAAGCGATATGCCCAGAAAGGCCACCTGTACACACATCAGCGCACACACACTGGGGAAAAGCCCTATCGATGCACTATTTGTGAAAAGGGTTTTATTCAGAAGTGCACCCTTGATATGCATCAGCGCACACACACAGGTGAAAAACCTTTTGTTTGTGTCAGCTGTGGCAAGGGTTTCACAAAGAAGTGTAATCTGAAGAAACATCTGACTCTGCATCTAGATCCTGGCCTAAACGCCTATGGAGGCGAGTCATTCAGTGGAACAATTATACAGGGAACCACATAAACTGACAATGGCTAACATTTATTTCTTCATTCTGATTTTAAACAGCTACTGAAAAATAAAGTTTACTTTGCTTAAGATATGAATGTGTCAAGCAGTGCATATTTTGAACACATCACTGAAAGGTTTTCTGTGTAAAATATCAAAACTGATGTTTCAACAAGCAAAATTTTTTTTAATCGTCTGGTAAAGCCAATTCCTCCTGAGAACTTACAAATGTATTAATTCTTGATAACCATTAATGCCATTAAGTAGCATTAATGGTTATCAACAGATCATTAAAATGTGTTTGGCTAAAAAAACACATTAAAGGTTTGAAGGGTTAGAGGATTTTGTTTACTTAATATTGATCATACTCTATATTGTTTTAGTGTGCTATAATAGATTAATTAGATCAAGCATTAAAAGGTGTGAATTTATTAGTAGTCCTATCATCTCTGTGGGTCATTGTACAGTCTGTACAGAGGCATCTCAATAAATAAGAACATAAACAAGAAGTTTTACTTATTGAGATTTAAAAAAGGAAAGCCATAGGTAACCTCGATTTAATACACACAGCATTTCAAGCTTTTCGTTTGCTTTTCGGTTGAACTTAATATGTTACACTAAAGGTGTTTCATTGATCATTCATTGCCTTTTTTTTGTATCCCGAAAACATGGTTGGTTGGATCTGAAAATAATTTATGTGGCTATTACATATAATCACCACTAGATGGCAACAATTTCAAATAATGTCTAGTTTTAAGTCTGAGTAAAGATCCAGTAACGTAAATATCATACATATTATATTATTCGCCTCTCTTCATTTAAAAATATTTTGCAGTAGCTCAACTCCGTTTATATATATTTAAATTTTATCGATAAAGAAGCTTTGCATCGCTTTTATTGTGCGTGGGTGAATAAGTAATATAAAAAAACGTGTGAAGATGTGAAACAGGAGAAGTTCCAACTATATTTGAAAGATAACGACAAAATAATGTAACGTGCTGATTTTGCAAGCTTGGCCTTTACAGAACAAATATCTTTGTTATGCAATAATTATGCATCAAAGTATTTTTTTATTCATTAATGTTTTGAGACATGTTTTATCATACTTTTCTTCTCCGTCCTGTGACATTTTCTATCCATATATGTCCAACAAAAAGCCTCATGAATCGAGCTGAGGCAGGAACACGCTGTTGCCTTTACATACAGTATACGTTGTGGTGCTTTCGCCTATAGATTTCCCATAATCCTTTGCGCTACAGCTGTATCACATATTTGATTATAGGAGCGACGCTGCTTCGTGGGGGTTAATCTTGCCGAAATTAGAAATACTCAGCGACTTTGGCGAGATGATGTGCGACGGCGCTAACAGGAGTTTTCGGACACAGCTGGCCGTCATCCTGGACAGGCTAACAAAGGCGGCTTTGGCTGAGATCAGCAGCCTGGCTGACGAGTGCTCCTCCGTCCTTCACACTGAGATATCTCTGCATAAGACGGAGAACGAGGCGCTGAAGAAGAGGTGCTACTCTCTGGAGGTCCAACTGAGAGCAGCCAGAGAGGGACAGACCTACCCAGCACATGTCAACACCAGCGTCAGGCAACTTTCAGGTCAGACGCTTGAATCAAGTCTGACACTCTGTGGGGTTTTCCCCCCCTTTTTTTATGCTGCACAATGCACCCTATCGGCTTGTATTCTGGTTAATATTATTGTTACTTGGAGTTACTGTTTGCTCTCTGCCTATTTTTGTTGAACTGCATTTATAGAAAGATAACCGTCTGCATCATATCTCAGTATAAGCTCTATATTTTTCCTTTCTAGATCAGCACCAGCCTTCTCCAGCCATTGAAGGAGTATTTGGGAAGGATTGGTGCATGGATCTGTGGAGAGAAGACAAGCTTCACCCTCAGAGAAGACTGCCAATGGAGGCTGCTATGACAAACATAGGAGCAGAGGTCAGCTGTGTGTCTTATTTTTGCAATTCAGTCATATGATGGTCTGAATAATGAGGGATGTATTTTTAGCCGTTTCCTTTATGCTGTTGGTAGGCAGCTGACATGATGGGGAGAGAACCTGATCTTATTTTTGTCAAAGAAGAGACGTATGACGATCACCCTATTGGTCAGCAGATGAGTCGTGCTGACAACAGGAAAAGTAAGAGTGGAGTGAAATAAAACAACACAGATTGCTAACTGCCTATGATTTAACTGGATGCATTTTCATTTCACAGTTGTTGGGATGTTTGAAGATGACGGCATGCTTCACAGATCCGTCGATGAACTGCAGCTTCAGACAGGGGAATTGAATAATTTCCCCATGATGTCGGACGGACAAATGCTACAGCGGGCACAGCCGACCATCGCGGACAGATTAATAGAGGATGCAGCAATGGGCAGCCTTGTGCAAAACACAAATCCTCCTCCAGCCTCAGTGGATTCCTCAGATTACACAAACTGTCTCCAAACAAACACAACCAAAGAACTCCCCTTTCAACCCAAACTTGTTAAGGCACCAAAGCGGTTTGACTGTTTATTCTGCGGAAAAATCTTTAACTATTTAAGCAGCTTAAAAGTGCACATTAGGCGGCACTCGGGCGAAAAGCCTTTCAGCTGCTCTGTGTGCGGAAAACGATTTGCTCAGAAAACGTACCTGAAGCTGCACCAGCGAGTGCACTCTGGTGAAAAGCCTTACAGCTGTCCAGACTGTGGCAAAAGTTTCTCCCAGAAAAGCTCTTTAAACATACATCTTCGAACGCACACGGGTGAAAAGCCTTATAGCTGCGTGGGATGTGGCAAATGCTACGCGTATAAATATGGTTTAAATCACCATCAGTGTTTCAACTGGATGGTCAAACCAGAGGTATTTGACACAGGTCCTCTCAGCACTGCTCAGAGTGACTCAACATGCGGCAGTATTTCTTTACTAACATCCAACATGGAGGAAAAATACTGATGTGGAGCAAAGAGAGCTGGATTGTATTATCTATTATGACCTGTGCTACTGTTAGTCATATTTTTTAGCTAGAGTGGAGAGACTAACGTAGCAGTGGCTAACCAATAGTGGAGCTTATTGGTCCTTTATAATAGAATATTTATTCTCACGGGTCTGAGTTTGATTAGCCAGCAAGAAATGAAAAACATTTTAACTTCATTTCATTGTTGCATGTGTTTGTTCCCAATATATGAGGCCACAGAAGGACTGTCCCAAGAAATACCAAATTATTGACTTTGGGAAAATGTTCCTGGCCAACCTCTAAAACTACCTCCTTGGAACAAAAACCTGAACCAAGATTGTTCCTTTGACCAGTTCTTTATTTGTTCAACACCATATTGAATTCTTTGGCATTAAAATGAAACTGAAGACATTTTTTCTGAAATATAACTAAAATTAAATGATCTCTTGGGCATATATTTGAAGAAGCTCCACACCCTATCAATTACACGGTGTAATTGATAATATTGTTACTGTTTGAATAGTTATTTTATGGTTCTACTGAGATTTCGAATTGAAGAGAAATTGTCAAGATTCTGTAAATCTGATTTCATGTAGTCTTATTTCATTCCTATGCCTAATAGAAATTGCTTTTTTTGAATGTAAAGCTTGCCTGAGCTGAGTCTGTTTAGAGAAGGTTCTAGCAGCATCGATTTTACTAGCATATAACTGAAATTGAGTTTTATGAAATAAAACAAATGAACATATTTGTACTTATGATTTTGTTTTAATAGAGAAAAAAAACATGAAAAATGTCAACTAAAGTACAAAAGCATTTGTTTTCAACACACCTTCCACAATACTAAAGACAAATAAAACGTTACCATCAAGACATTAACAACATTTACACTAGTGTAAACAGTGGCATGATGAATTTCATAAATGTAGCTAATAAACAATACATTATATCCAGTTAGTGACATGTTTCTGTTAAGGATGCATGGATTGCAATTTTCAAATCGCCGATTACTGATATTTAAAAAGCCTGACATGCCAATCTGAATTTTTTTGTCTTAAATTACTGAATATAAGTCACAGATTTGGCAACAGTGGGGTGACTACTGTTAATTATAAGTGTTCAGACACAGGCTGTAATTGGACCAGTCTATCAACACAGAGCAAAAGAAGACATTGGTTGATTTTTGGACCCTTGCCGAGGTAGATAAGATGAGTAGATAAGATTGGCTTCACATGGAAGTAACAGCTGATCACCAATTTCCCAAAATGGAGGAAATCGGAGCAAATTTATCGTCCGATCAATTTATCGCTGCACCCCTAGTTTCTGCTGCTATATGTTGCTAGGTTTGGGTTGTTTCTGACTCACTGACCCTCCTCCAACAACCTCACGATTTAAGTGTGCCATTAGATGATGATTGAGGTTCACCTTCTGCGTGAAGGTCTTTCCACACTTAACACACAGGAAAGGTCTGTCACCAGTATGGATGCGTAGATGACATTTTAAATTGCCTTTTTGAGTAAACCTTTTGCCGCACAGGCTGCACCTGTAGGGTTTCTCACCTGTATGGACAACATAGTGAATCCTCAGAGCTGATTGGTTGGCAAAGACCTTGCCGCATAACTCGCACGACTTGCTGATTCTCTGGTGTGAAACAGGAGGCACACATCTGTGGGAGTTCAGCTTCTTTTGAGGGAAATGCTGCTTGCAGATGCTGCAGAAGTTTGTCTTATGTGACTTCATGTGGTGTGTCAGTGTGCCCTTGTGAAAGAACGTCCTGCTACATACATGACATGTGAACGTGTTGCTTTTTGGAGCTCTGGTCATTTTCACACTGACCACGTTCAAGTTATTAGGGAAGTCCTTAATATTAGTGATACAGTTGTCAGTGCTGTTTGTTGGTAATGCCTGCTGTTCGTTGTGACTGGGCCCGACTGCAGGGCTCGATTCTGCTTCATTGTGACTTGCTTGGACAAACTGGACATCATCATCCTCCTCCTCCTCGTCCTCCACTTCAATTGGTATGATATGGGTGCTAAAGTCCTCTTCCGTTGTGCCATTGATACTGATAAACTGCACAAGTGGTTCTTCGATACTTTCTAATAACGAATCCTGCTGTCCATCCTGATCAAGTGGAAAGCCGCAAGTACTGCCATCGACAGAGTAATCCACTGACTTCTTATCCGATTCCTCAGCCATGCTTTCTTCATGTTCTGATGTACAAAAGCAGCTGTTTAAACTCAGAAAGCAGGAAAAACATTGCTATATTTGCCCATTCCACTCTCGATTCTTCACATTTCTTACCTTCATTGGAAATTGCTTCCTCATCTGAGTTAGTGGCAGCATTTGGCATCAACTCCTCTGTTTTGAGCTTGGCAAGTGTGACTTGGTCCGATTGAACTGCTGCAGGCTGTTAAAGGCAAAGACTTATTTTAATCTCAAATTCAAAAGAACACATTTTCAAAAACTCTGGATTACAAGCTGTAATTTGAAATGGAAAAAGTTTTTTAACTTCAGTTATTAGAATCTAATTATTTATTTGATCAAGAGCCAAACATTAACTTAGCAAAGTACAGAACATAATTTTTTAAAAAACATTTGATTTTGGTAAATTCACAACATTCCACCACGGCAGGCAGTTGAAAAAGTGAAATTACAGCAAAACATGTTGATGAAGTAAAAACTGATCAGTTCACCATACTTTACAAAAAGAGATTGTGTTAAACATTAATATAAGCAAAATTAATTTTTGTTTTCATGCACAATGTACCCTTTCACTTTTTATTGGTTAAAATAATTTGCAGTAACAAATGATACCCTTTGGCTGAATGGATGGACTATTTCAATTTAATAACCAAGATCTATTTTAATCTTTGAAATAGTACAGGATTCATACAGGACTACTTGTTGAACATTTTATGACATTATAACCATTCACAGGTTAATGTAAATTGAGGGACATGAATTATTGACAAAGTTTGAAAAAAAATCTCTAAAATAAGCAAAACAAACATCTTGTGATATTTTACGCTTATTGTATATTTAAATAAAACATGACATAATGCCTTTTAATCAGCCTTCCATTAAAATCATATTGGCTGAAGCAAAGAAACTTTAAACACGCAGGACAATGTGCCTTGATGATCATGGGAAACTGTTATTACGCTGATTTGTAATCATTTCTGTGTCCATAATAATAGGCAGGATGCCCTGGAGCGATCCCTCCTCACCTCATCATCAGGAGGCCCAGGTGAGTCTGTGCATCTCTGGGGACTGAATGGATCTCTGTCCTTCCACAGATTTATACACCAGTCTTTTCCAAAGATCCCCTCTATCGTGGGAGGGCAGGTCACTGAGAAACAGAAAAGAAACGAAGGACAAGCTGGATAAATCAATGCGTTCGCTCACAATGACCTGCTACTTTAGTTTGCGATACTCCCAATACCATCATGATGCTTCTCGTCTCTGCTGCAGACAGTTTGCACACCTACGCTGCAATAACTTCTACTTCTCTTGGGCGTGTCTCTGACCACACTTGTCAGCTCACACTCCAGACTGTTCACTTTCTCTGTCAGGGCTGAGTTGGCACACAGAAGCCGGGACAGCTCCGACCGCAGCTCGGCTGAGTCCTGGTCCACCAGCTTGCAGACCTGGCTGAACGCAGACTTCGCCATCGTCTCCATGATGGAGGAGAGCTGGGAGTGAATGGAGACGCGGCTCGCCATGGCAGACGTCAGAAGTACAAAGGCTTTCTAGCAATATTTAAAAAAATAAAATAAAACTAATATTCACGTGCCAACTGGAAAACATGCAACATTAAAACAAAACAACTATTTGCGGCGTGTGTCGCCAATGGCGCTAATCAGAGTTGCCGCTGCGCACGAAGCGGGACCCAAATAAAAGCTGCAACAGTGACGCATTTCCGGCGGATGTAACTGGTCAGCTGCTTTGTGTTAGAGCGCTTCCTTGATACGAATGAAACCTCTCAGGGTAGAATTGTTTGTTTTCTGATATAGTTTAATCTAAATGCGAGCCGCTTTCTCGCCTACTTACGCAGACGGGGATTCGGGAGAGCAGCCGCCAGCATGAACACGGAGAAAGACTTTTCGCCCCTGACGCCCAACATTGTGAGGGCTCTCAATGATAAGCTGTATGAGAAGAGGAAAGTCGCGGCTCTGGAAATAGAGAAGCTGGTGCGAGAGTTCGTGGCCCAGAACAACTCAACTCAAATCAGACATGTGATCCAGATCCTGGCATCGGAGTTTGCGCTCTCTCAACACCCGCACAGCCGCAAGGGGGGTCTGATCGGACTGGCGGCTTGCTCCATCGCCCTGGGGAAGGACTCAGGTCTGTATCTGAAGGAGCTCATTGAGCCAGTACTCACGTGTTTCAATGACTCAGACAGCCGCTTGCGCTATTACGCCTGCGAGGCTCTGTATAACATAGTGAAGGTGGCCAGAGGGGCAGTGCTGCCTCACTTCAATCTGCTTTTTGATGGTCTCAGCAAGCTCGCAGCAGATCCAGACCCGAATGTGAAAAGTGGATCTGAGCTCCTGGACAGATTACTGAAAGACATAGTAACAGAGAGCAACACTTTTGACCTGGTGTCATTCGTCCCCCTGCTGAGGGAGAGGATCTACTCGAATAATCAGTATGCCAGGCAGTTTATCATTTCTTGGATTCATGTGCTGGAGTCAGTGCCAGACATCCACCTGTTAGACTATCTCCCCGAGATCCTGGACGGACTCTTTCAGATCCTGGGTGACAACAGCAAGGAGATCCGCAGGACGTGTGAGGTGGTGCTTGGGGAGTTTCTGAAGGAGATTAAGAAGACCCCCTCAAGTGTGAAATTTGCTGAGATGGCCAACATTCTTGTCATTCACTGCCAGGTTGCAGATGAAACCAAACTCACGAATGATCTGATCCAGCTGACAGCTATGACCTGGATGAGGGAGTTCATCCAGCTCGCAGGCAGAGTGGTGCTCCCTTATTCTTCTGGGATTCTCACTGCAGTGCTCCCATGCCTTTCCTATGATGACAGAAAGAAAAACACCAAAGAAGCGGCCAGTGCCTGTAATAACAGTCTGATGAAACTGGTGACTCCTGAAGATGATGAGGACACGGAGGAAGAAAGAAACGGAAGCACGGGATCGTCTTCTGCTGGAGAAGGCCAACCCAAAATGGAAGGAGACGGCAATGACATGTTGAATGCATCCCAAGAATCCGTCGGTTTGAGCAACATCAGCTTCTTTACTCCAGCAAGTTCTGACAAGCCTCACGTAACTCTGGACCTCGACGGGATTGTTCAGGTGTTGAACCGCCACCTCCATGACTCCTCCACTGGCATGATGACCCGCATAGCTGTCCTCAAATGGCTTTATCACCTGTACATCAAAACACCACGCAAAATGTTTCGCCACACAGACAACCTTTTCCCCATTCTGCTTAAAACGTTGTCTGATGACTCTGATGAAGTCATCCTGAAGGATCTGGAGGTGTTGGCTGAGATAGCATCCTCTCCTGCTGGCCAAACTGACCTGGCCTCCTCTTGCGATATGGCTGACAACAAACTGGTGCTCAAGGTGCCAGACGGGCCCAAAACAGGACAGCAGTCCAGCACGGCCTCCAAAGCTGTGGACTCCTCCCCCTCTACTCCTAGTATGAACTCTTACTTTTATAAGTTCATGATCAATTTACTGAAGCGTTTCAGTCTGGACAGGAAACTCCTGGAGAACAGAGGAGCTTTCATCATCAGGCAGCTTTGCCTATTGCTTCATGCAGAGAACATCTTCCACTCGATGGCTGACATCTTGCTGAAGGAGGAGGACCTTAAATTCGCCTCTACCATGGTTCAGACCCTCAACACCATCCTTCTCACCTCTGCTGAGCTCTTCCAGCTACGCAACCAGCTAAAAGATCTGCACACTCAGGAAAGCTGTGCTTTGTTCTGCTGCCTGTATCGGTCCTGGTGCCACAACCCGGTGGCCACTGTGTCCCTTTGTTTCCTCACACAGAACTACAAGCATGCGTATGATCTCATCCAGAAGTTTGGCAATCTGGAAGTGACTGTGGACTTCCTAATGGAGGTTGACAAGCTGGTGCAGCTCATAGAAAGCCCCATTTTTACCTACCTGCGTCTGCAGCTCCTGGATGTGGAGAACAACCCATACCTGATTAAGGCGTTGTATGGTCTGCTGATGCTGCTGCCTCAGAGTCAGGCTTTCCAGCTGCTCTCGCATCGGCTGAAGTGTGTGCCCAATCCAGAGCTTATGAGAACTGTGGACGAATCCAAGTACATGGACTCTAAAAAACAAGCGGCCTGCAAGCGCTCCTCTCACACTCAGGTGGATTACAACGAGCTGCTGCAGCATTTTGACCGAGTGCAGAGCAAACACCTGGAGGTCCGACACCAGCGCTCTGCACGTGCATCCGATCACCATGACAGGAAGCTAATGTGATGTGTGAAACTTATGATTATTGAAGACAGAGTATATGTAATACAGAAATAATATACTGAAAGAAATAATAATTATTAAAGCCAAAATGTGTATAAAATTATTTGTTGAAGAAGCACTGGATATGCACTGTCAGATCAGCTGTGTATTTTGGCATTCCTTATCTTTATGTGTAACATTAGAAAAACTGGAAACGTATGCATTCCACCATGCAAAGTCCAAACTAAACCTCCTGCATATAACAACATATAACAAAAAGCTTGTGATTAAATCTGCATGTTAGTCGTGTTTTTATCCTATTGTGCAGAAGCATGTGTTCAAGTTGCCTTAATCATGTCTGCCAGAAACAGGAATATCACATGTTGGTCATTGGCTCAGATCAGGTGAGGTTTAACTCGGTACATGACTCGGAACAGACATACTATATGTGTGTTGTTACACATTAGGAGTTTTTACATTGCAGAACTTTTACTTTTATTGAACAACTATTTTGTATGTAATGATCTTCCATTTCTTTTGTGATGTTTCACTGCAGTCATTCTGTTTGAAAATAAAGTGGACCATGTGATTTACGTATAGTTTTCAGTGGTGTATGTTTCAGTTCTCTAGTGGTAGACATCTTTGAGAACTAAAGCAAAGTTCCCTATAGTAAAATAATACATGTAATTTTTCTCCCCTTTTATCATATCACTGTCAGGAGACAATTGCACATTAAGCTAAAAATGTCACCCAGATTTTAGAGGTAAAACTGCTTTACGATATTTTTTATTTAGGTTATTTTTTATCTAAAATATATTTTATTTCAAAATAAAATATATTTTAAAATTATATTTTAGATAAAAATAACCATCATGCTCTAGAACTGACGTTGCAGCATAAAGAATTGCGTCTGCCTTTCTCGCCAACTATTTGATTATTGCACATTAGTACATGCAGTTCACAGGTATGATGACACATTGTCTGTCAACTATATGTTTTAATACGTAAATAACCTGGTTGCAAAATTATTCAGATCTAATCTCATTTGGAAAAAAATAAATAAAAACGCTACACAAAATATAGAAAACTTGGCTTTATTCTTACAATGATTACTCACAATTAAATGTGACAGACCTTCAATACACAAGAGCAAACGTGCTGCAGGGTCCCTGATATAGTTACTTCAAGTCCAACAAAAAATAAAATGTTTAAAAGATTATCCCCATTTATTACACAAGTTGTGTCGCTGAACTTTTGAGTTTTATTTAAAATACAAAATATGAACATGTAAAAAACATACTGATTGTTTATAGATGGAAAAAGTGGCACTTTTCAATTTTAGCTATTGATCACAGATCACATGTCAAAGCCAATCGAGGGAGAAGTATGGATACTATGATCCCTGGCTAAGTGACCTGGTGACCTCTAACTTTCACTATGGACCGAGTTAACCCATAATATGCACTGTGTAGTCATAAAAATAGTTTTTAGCTCATTTAAAACTGCAAAATGATTAATTTGATGTCTCTGTCATTTTTCCAACTTGTTCTGAGCCGATGGTAGATTTGCTACTAAAATATTTCCGTACATGTCAATGGTAATTTATAGTGAAACCAGAGTGGTTGACTCACTCTCCCCCTCTTCTCTGGAGCAAGACTAAATTGAACACTGAAGTACAAGCTAAAAAGAAAATAGATCTTCCTGCTTTATTAGAGATCCATGACTGCTGCAGCAACCTTCACAGATGGAGGCTGACACGGCTTGTCAGGTTGTGGATGAGTCTTGCTGTGCGGTGTGTGGAGAAACCTTCCTGGCTCCTGTGGTTCTGAGCTGCATTGGCTGTGGTGGTAGTTTTTGTCATTTTTGTTTGGAACAGTTTTGGACACAGCTTTGTGTAAAAGAATGTCCCCTCTGCTTTAAAGATAGTCTTGGACTTCCACATAAATCATGCAAGACACACGGAGAGAGGATGCTACTATTCTGTGTTGCTGATTTGGAGCCGGTCTGCTGTGTTTGCAGCAGATCTGGCCAGCATATGAACCATACAGTGTTTCCTATAAGGGAGGCCTTCAACAACCACAAGGTAGGTGAATATTTTTTTTCTATAAAGTGTTACGTTTAGATTTACACATAATTGAATTGTCTCAGTCCTTACCTTTGTAATTTGTTGGATTCCCAAATGTATTAATTTAAAATCAGGTCTTTAAAACACACTTTTTTTCAATTTGCCCCACGTCAGGCATCTCAGACTGAATTGTTTGGGTTAAACCATCATGTTTAACCCATGAATAAGAAAACATCTTAACAGTGTTTTCTTATGGCAGGAGAGTGTTCCCTGGGCGTTCACACCATCGGCACAACCTATTTTTGTGCAGCATTCCAGTAAGCTAATTTGGCCAACCAAATACTGGGTTACAAGGCACAGAAGGTCAGGTTCCTGTTAAATGCTTTTGAGATTAACAAATTAAATTTTAGGATGACTATGTTGCTGTGTCTTTTACCTTTTAATTAATAAAGTTTTTCACAGATTAAACTTTTGACAGTTTAAATCAATACCCCATCCACAACTAAGTAAGAATATCCCAAATTGAAATGGCCAGGAATAAAATCTTCCAGATACAGCTTCTCTTTGCTATTTATATCCTCCTCCATACTCTGGATTTGATTGTTTTGCTTCTTTCATTACAACACTGGTTCACTTAACAACCTTCTAAATAACCAAAGGGTCAACGTAGCATGAGTCCAATTCAAGAACTACAGTGTGTGCAAATATTCCAGCACCATATATATATATTTATTTCTGTGGTGCTCCACTTCATAAGATTTGCAGTTATCAGTTAGTACAATTATTTAAACGTAAAGAGAAGTGTTTTTACTTTAGGGAGGTGTTTATTTGAGAAAGGGCAGTGCTCCGTGTAGCATTTCACTGGACATGTATTTGAGATCTGAAGTATTAACAGTTATTTCTGAGGTTAAGATGAGGTAGCTTGATGTGGGAGGGGCACTGGAGCCTGCGTTACAAAGTGCTGGGGGAAAGAATGGCCACCAGACATGCTCGTTCTGAAGATGACCTTTCCTGTCCAATTTGTGGACATATTCTGCGTAAGCCGGTGGTCCTCACCTGCAGACACAGATTTTGTAAGGCCTGTCTGCAAGACAGCTGGGACACACAAGACCGTAAGGACTCGCACTGCTGCCCTCTGTGCTGGCGTCGCTCTTCAATGGATCAAATTGTGGTAAACACTGTGCTAGAGAGGGCCTGTGAGTCCTTCAAAGACGACAGAAGTAGGAATGACCCAAAAACTTGTAAAGAGCACGGGGAAAACCTCACACTCTTCTGCTTGGAGGATCTGGAACCAATCTGTGGTCTTTGTGGCAAAGCAGCTGCACACAGGGGGCACAGACTCTATCCCATTGCAGAAGGCGCCCATGACTGTAAGGTAGGCATATTAATGTCACAAGGCTGGTCAAAGCATTGCTTCACAAGAGCAGACAGCAGCACATCCTTCACATAACATGTTGTGTCTAAGTATAACCTATTAACCAGTTTTATGCCAGTTATTGCAGCTAAGATAAATGAGAAAATTTTTCTTAGTATTTGAATATTAAATGGAGCCAAGGCATATCATAGGAAAAGACACAGGTGTTAAGCACAAGGTATCAATGAATACACACGTTGAAATATCTTAGTTTTAATTTTATTTAGTGAAGACTAGATTGCTGGGACAATGTGTTGCACATAATTCATTTTCCAACTTTTCTTTTAGAAAAGTATAATAAAGTATATTGCTATTCTAATAATAGAATTATATATTTGGTATCCTGTTGCTATTCAGGTCCAGAAGGATCTGAAACTTGACTCCCACCAGGTTTAAGTGACACTACATTCATTCATATCCTGTCCTTGCCTTTTTCCCTGAAGGCAACTAAACGTCCAACTCACTAAATATGTTTTTTTTTCTAATCCAAAAAATAAAACATCTTTAGACTGTGTGACCTAAGTTTTGCTGACGAGAACCGTTCAATGGATCTTCCACAGTTCTTTGTCTTTGATGCTACTGTATTGTTAAGCTTTCCATTTAGATGGAATGGTGCTAGGGAAAGGTATGTGGCAGCTGAAAGCTGCACACTGTGTTGACAGCTTGGCCACCTGCCAGACTGACCTTGTAAAAGAGTTGATGCCCTGTCACTGACATTTCAGGAGGAGCTGAAGAGCGCACTTCTGCCCTTGAAAGAGAAGCTACAGCTGTACAAGAATGCGACAGTAGCATGCGAGGAAATGGCTGAACACGTGAAGGTATGGTCAGCTTCAGGGATGCTTTCAGAAGATGTTCGAAATAACCATTTGAGCATGTCCCCTTGCAGAACCAAGCGAAACACACTGAAGCACAGATCAAAGAGGAATTCGAGGCTCTTCACAAGTTTCTTAAGGAGCAGGAGGCCGCTAGACTTTTGGATTTAAAGGCTGAGGAGGATCAGAAGAATCTCATGATCAATGAAAAGATTGAGGAGATGAGCAATGAAGTTGCATCGCTCTCAAACATTATCAGAACAGCAGAACAGGAAATGAAAAGTCAAGATATCCCATTTCTGAAGGTCAGACATGAATGTGCATTCTTGTGCATGTCGATCAGAAACTTAAATATATATCGTATTTTTTTCACAGAATTACAAGGAGACAATCAAAAGGTAAGTTTTTAAAAGTATGCATTTTTAAAAATAACTTCACAATAATAACTCCCAAATGTTTACTTTTGCAATCTCTTTTCAGAACCTGGAAAAAGTCTCCTGGTCCACACATGTTGTCTGGAGCCCTAATTGATGTGGCGAAGCACTTGGGCTCTCTAAAATATAAAGTGTGGGAGAAAATGAAAAAAATTGTCAAATATAGTAAGTTCAATGCAGATTTTTGCATGAAATTCAACAGGCTTTCAGGCATTACATCAGTAACTCTACTTTTTCATTCAAGCTCCAGTGATTCTGGATCCCAATACCGCAGCAAACTGTTTCATCCTCTCTGAGGATCTCACAGTTGTGCAGAATTCAAGTCAGATCTTCAAGCTTCCAGACAACCCAGAACGCTTCGATATTAGTGCAGAGATGCTTGCTGCTGAGGGCTACTTCACTGGACGCCACAGCTGGGACGTGGAGGTGAACGACAACACCTACTGGGTTTTAGGAATAGCCAGCGAGTCGATCAATAGGAAGGGCAAACACGTGCTGACACCTGCAGAGGGATTCTGGACTATAAGATATCGGAACGGAGAGCACAAAGCCTGCACCGCGCCCTGGGAGCCACTCAACATGTCTAAGAAGCCAGACGTGATAAGAATGGTTTTGGACATGGACAGAGGAAAGGTGACATTTTATGACCCAAAGGAGAGACAACCCCTCTACACTTTCACAAATATCATCACACCAAAAGCCTTTCCTTATTTTTGTACCGCTTGTAAAGAGCATCCACTGAAAATTCTACCGGAAAGGATAACTTTGTCAACAGAGCGTTAACAGAGCTGAAAGAAATGTAAAGATTCTCTTTTCTTTTTTCAAATATGGTTATAAAATAAATTCTTAATAGATTAAATTGAATGAA